CCCCCGCGAGCGACGCGAGCTCCGATCTCTTCGAGATCGAGAGCTTCTCGACGGCGACGCAGTCGACGTACCCGGCGGCGTGCCGGCGCAACAGCAGGGACTCGTTCGACGAGGCCTCGGCGTCGACCTCGACCGCGACGACCACGACGGGATTCTTCTTCGGTCGGAGAAGCATGGACGAGGGCTCGACGACGGCGACGATAACGGAGTGCTACGAGCCGAGCGAGGCGAGCATCGAGTGGAGCGTGACGACGGCGGAGGGGCACGAGGAGGGCGTCTCGGCCGCGGAGGAGAAGTGGAAGCGCAAAGGCGGGAACGGTTTGTTGGTGAGCTGTCGGTGCGAGAAAGCGGTTAGCGTGGGGCCGCAGCCGGTGAAATGTGGATCAGAGGGACAGCGGAGTGCCACGTCAGCATCCGCATCAGCGCACGTGAATGTAACTTCCCTTAGTGGGGTTCACAGTAGGATTGGGAGCATTAATAAGCCACCACTTGCGAGGGCTCACCGCAACGCACCTCGCGTGTCCCTTGCTTTCGCCACATAGCCCCATGCATCATGCATCATGCATCATGCATCATGCATCATGCATCATGCATCATGCATCATGCATCATGCATGCACCTTCTCTCCCGCGCTTTTCCCCTTTTCCGTTTTCTTTGTTTCTTTCGCTTCCGTTATTTTTCTGTCCCCTTTGTTTTCCTGTTCCGTATATAATATATATATATCCGTTTGGGTCACTTCCATAGTCCTTGTTGTAACATCTCTTATGTTTTTATGTTGCATATCATATCCTTCTTCTTCTCTTTGTTTCTTGCTAAGTCCCCCCACACCACAAATTCCTACCATTCAACCACAATAAAAGATGTAGAAAGAGCATCCACTAATGCAATTTTAAGTTAATTGCATAAATGTTCCCTACAAAATCCTATGTGTTCTTTTTTTCCCCACTAAATGGTGCATCTACGTCTTGCGTAATGTACAATAATACGTAGAATTAGTATGTGGGTCATATTATTATTGGGTTTGTATACAAAATCACATGAAATTGATTATTACATTTGGAAAAATCTAAACCTACTTGTGACAAGAGAAAAGAGATAAGAAAATAAATAGCAAGAAACATAATTAGTGGTGTAAAAAAAAATGAAACACATGAAATGGAAATAAGATGAAAGAAAAAGTAGAGAGTATTAATATAATAAACCACCCATCTTGTTTCGAAGTTGACTTTATTGCTCATTTGAGGTTTCTTCCGGTTTTAAAAAATTATACAATGATCCATCAAAAGTTAAAATTACACATGGCCAATGAATCAAAATTTATTACATTTGGACATCCTCTAGAAAAACAAAATGAAAGCTTAGAAACATCCTCCAACATGTGCGAAAATATTAGTTCCAATTGTTGAATTATTTTGCCTCCACCTTAGCAGCACCCAAGGTTGATCGAGGATGAATAATTGTAAGGAATAAGAAGAAAATTTTGAAATAAATAAATAAATCACTAGTAATAGATAATTATTATTGTTTTGTATAGAAATTAATAATTGTATTAATTTAATGAATTGAAACCAAACAAATAATAATTTAGGAAAAGAAGAAAAAAAAAACATAAGCACATCCTATATATTTGGCTGTCAAAACTCAAAGGTACATCTTTTCTATAAGTTTCATACAAGTTTTTCTTATAAATTATATGGAAGAACTTGCAAAAATAAGTTAAAAATATTGTATAGATCAATCATATGATATTTTCATAAGTTCTTCCAAAAAAACATATCATAAAATAAATTCAATTTTGTTGTTTAAAAGTTCATTTAAATAAGGCTTAGTCATAAAATTTGACTCAAACTTAAATATTTAGAAACTTATTATTAAATCAATCTCTATACATACTCTCAACTAAAAACTGATAATACTTGTTCGTATAGGAATCAAATTAAAAATAGATGATACATACAGAAACCTTTTTTTTTTTTTGGGTAAATTGAGATCAATAATAAAGAAAAGAAAATTGCATGTTATATATATATATAGAGAGAGATTAAATATATGTTAACCTAATTTTAATTATTTCTCATTGCCTTTAAAACTTCAGTAAAAAAGTCATTGCCTATAGAAATCAAACTCACCCTTCATTCAATATATGTTGACCACCTTTTCTTCTTTATTTAAACAAAATTGTATTACTGTTATCATTATCAATGTAAACTACATATTTAAAATTAAAATTTATTCCTAACTTTTTTAATTTAAATAGAAGTGGAATTAAATATTTATGTTTTAAAATATATATCGTATGCATAATATATTTCATCATTAATTATAAATAACTTCAAACTGCGAATAAAATAAACATAATTAAAACATACAAATATATATATATATATATGCCTGTTTTAAAAATAGAATTTAATTATAGATCCTGATTGTAATGATATAAACTTCTACGTAAAAGAGGGCATTGCCTCATTGGTCACCAATCTTAACCATGAAATTATTAAATTAACATACCTATATGTTCAGTAAGCAATTTATCCATTGTTGGGGAAGTTACACTTTGCCGTGTTAGACGTTCTCCACATTTGTATCCTAGCTAAGCTTATAACTATAACAAGTATTATATTAAAATTAAAGAAGAAGAAAAAATATTATAAAATGTTTCTCGTAAAAATATGATTGTTGGACATCAAGAACACAGTTATTATCAAAAGTGAGTCTCTTAAAGTGGAGAGGGACGAGTTGATGACTCACTAAAGAAAGAAATGTTTTGTGTTGGCTAACAAAAAAAAAATGAGTTAAAAAAATGTAACTTATCCTATTTATCAATGAGTTGGCTTGGCTGGTTGGATAGTTGACTTTAGTGAATTGGTGGGTTAAAAAAGAGAGCTAATAAATTGATCCACCTAAATTTTTTAAAAAGAATCTCAATTAAAATATGTTAATACACATTATCACTTTAACTTATAATTATATTGTTATTTATAAAATTTATTAGAGGAATTATATTTTTTATGTAAAGAGCGAAAGTGATATATATTTTTATTAGAAAAAAGACACTGCATAAAAATGCACTATAGTAAAGAACATATGTGGTTAAAATAATATATTTTTATTCATGTAAAATGAGAATAACTACCTAGAAAAAAAAAAGTTAAATTATAAGATAAAAACATTGATTCAACATAAATTCACTACAAACTTATCTTATAAAAACATAAAACAAAAAAAATGGGTTAATAGATTGACACACCAAATTAGTGAGGTTAACCCATAAAGTTGATAAGTTGAATGAAATGAGTTGGGTGGGTTGGTGGATTTATTTATCCACCCATCAAAAATAAGTAAGTTGGCAGATTGACTCACCAAATTTAGTCTATATTATCATTCTAATCATTATAAGGTAAGAGAAATAGAGGAAGAAGATAAAAGTGCATATTATAATAAAAATAAAAGAATATAATAATATTAAGGAGATGTTTAAAGTGAAAAGATTTATTGACTAACATAATTATACAATATAAATTACAAGTATCTCCCATCTAAGACAATCATGATTAAATTGGAAATAACTTTGTCTAAGTTGATCTAAGTATCTGAAGTACTACATGATATATGAATTTGTTATATACAAATGATAAAATGAGACAATTTGTCTCAATATGTCTAAAGTAGGATAGGTTAACCAATAAATGAAAGATAGATTGAAAAATATAATTCACTCTTTTTATAAGTGGAATCACAAGTTAACCCGTCAAAAGATAAAATGTTAGATTGATAGATTATGAAATGGCACATTAATTAACATGCCAACCTGCCAAACTCAATATAAAAAGAAATTCAAAAGGAAAGAAAAAAAAATTAAAATATTATTATTAAATAACATATTAATTGATAAAAATTACACCAATATCATTTATATTTTTATATGTTAAATATTTATCAATAAATTATTAATGAGTTAACTAGTTTAACTTAATATGTCAACCTTTTTACCACTTCTTCAACTCCTTAAGTTGAAGGATTAGAAGGAGTGAATTATTTGGCTAAATTATATAATTCACCTCGTGAATTTTTTATAATTCAAAATGCATTCAACTTACTTTAGCGCAACTCTTTATATTTAAATAAAAATTCACTTCAATCAAAGTTAACTTTAGAGTGAAAGTCTTGTTACTTTTACGTTTACGTGTTTCTAATATTTTCCAATAGATAACCAAACACAAGTATGTAATATAAATTTGTGTTGTTTTAATGTCGAGCTCGTGAATTCGCTTAAATTATTTTAACTTAAGATTGCTTCTACCAAAACAAAAAAAATTTGTTATCTTTCTTTTCACTTAAATTCTGGACCACGTAAATTAAATGGTGTATTTGTCTAGCATACGTAATAACGACATGTAGAATTGAACATGCGGGTCCTATTGGTATTGGATCTAATACAAAATCACATGGGATTGGTTAGTACAATTGGATTCTATATGATACGATAATATCATGGAATGCAAAAAATTCTATAATGTTTTTTTTACAACAAAAAATAAAATTCTATAATGTTTAGGAATATGTATGGTGTACAATCACCCGACAATTCATATGCATATGAAAAGGAAAAGCTAGACAATTCATTTGCGAGTGAAATTCAAATGTTATTTTATACATGAATATTTTTTTTTTCACATTTACTTTTCATGAAAAAATAAAAATAAAAAATGCGAACATGTTTCTCTTAAAAAAAATGTGAGAAAAGAAATCTAAGAATAATTTTCTTAATCTACATAATCGATCTTTATTATTATTATTATTATTATATTTGATTTAATGATTGTTTGGTATGCTTTCTGATCATAAGAAAGTGAAATGACTTTTTCTTGTGAATCATATGGAGATAGATATTGACATATCTCTCGTGATGATAATGGTGTTATTGATAAACATTGAATTTTTCATTATCAGTGGTGAAAAATGAATGACTTAATTTGTTATATATCTAAAAAAATATTTAATTTATTCATAAAAAATTTAAAATATATGTTAAAAAATAATGTTACAAATATTAGAGTTTATAAATATTTATTTTATCTGAATTTATATAAAATATTTTTAAATTTTTTTATGCAATGTCATACAATTAATTAGGAGCCTTGAGATCATCTAATTGTTTTCTTTGAAAGTAACCACAGTTGCACACAAATGTTGGGGTTATAAGGTATTGATCACCAGATTGCAAAATAATATATAAAATTAATGTCTGAAATTATTAGCATTAGTCAAATTTTTTTTTCAGCTTTTGTTGCTAGCTAATGTTTCTGTTTTTCAGAGGATGATCCTAGCTGTAACTGTTTTTCATTTGAAGTTTTTAAGAATTTTATCAGTTTTAAAACAAAAATTGATTAAACACTTTGTACAGTATTTTGCACGTGTACTGTTATAGCTAAAAATGGATCAAAACCAAATAATGTTATCTCACATGGCCTAACAGAGCATCCTTTAACTTTGCTATGTGCATGGGGCTCAGACTTTTCCAAACCAAAGAGCGATGCTCCCAATAACCAAGTCATGCATGCATCTTAAAATCTCTCATTATATTGCATTATCTATCATACTTATATTTCTCCCTCTTTCAATTACAAGTTGTTACGTGCCTCATGCTTTATTTATTCTATTTTTTTTAATCATGTTATTGTCTGTACAAGTATTCACTATTGAAAAAAGTGATTAATATGTGTTCAACTAAATATTTCTTTTTAATATAATTCATTTCATATCTAATACTAGAATTTAAACCTTAAACATTTTGA